CTTAAAGCCTCTAAGGCCCGGGGAGTGCTTATATCCCCTTTCCACGATGTCATCAGCAACTCTTTGAAGCTCGGGTGTTGTAGCCAAGCTGCATCAAACCGGAAAAGTCTTCTCTTTGGGTCTCCTTTTGATTCCGGACAAAGCTGTTAAGTATATCGGTGTATGGTCTGAAGCCAGAAACGGGAGATGTGTCACTGTTGCTTCCTGCCACCTTAACCGAGCTTGAGCACAACATAAAACCCGGTCTAGGCGTTTGAAAATATAGGTACTCTCACTTCTTCCTCTCCTCCATGTATATTTGTTACCGCTGAAACCCATATCTATAAGCGAAAGGTCATTTATCCATTCTCCGAAGGCCAAAGAGTATGTCGATAATCGCCCATTCCCTCCAGACCTTTCATCGATTCGCACAATGGTGTTGAAGTCCCTGCCAATGACTGTCGGGCTACTCACTCCATTAACTACATCCCTTAATTTCCCCCACAAGCCACTCCTTCTACTTGCTGACGGTGCTGCATACACCACAATTAAGTTCACTCTCTTCTCCATGTTCCCACTTGGCGTGAATAAACTGGTCTGAAGATTCCAACACTTCCACCTCTCCTATCTCCGTCCTCCACAATAACCATAAATCACCACTCTGTCCGACCGCATCCACCCGATGCGAATTCTCAAGCCCCAATCCTCGACAAATCCTGGCAGCCCGATCTCCTCCGGCGTGTGTTTCAAAAATTGCCAGAATGTCTGTTTTATACTTCTTAAAAACGTATCTGATCGATCTCCTGAAGCTTGGTTTATTTTTCCCACGGTAATTCCAAAATAAACAATTCATCATTATTATAATATACCAAACTGAAACGACCGGGGACGACTGCTAATCGGTTCCATCCCTCAACCGCATCATCTCCTTCTCCCTTATCGGTGAATCCTGACAATCCGACTCCACTGAAATTTCCAGCAGGGCCTCCAATACCATTCGGTCCGTACCCGCTTCCTTCATCGATCTCTGGACTGTCTGGTTTCCATCGTGTTCCTCTATTTTGTCATTCTGGAAACTTTCTCCTGGTCTCCCCAAGCTGACCTTCTCCACTGTCAATCTCTCTCCGCTCGTTGTGAGCTCGATTATTTCCTTCGCCGGCCCAAAGATCAAACCTGCAGTAGACCTATTCTTCATAACCTGTTTGGACCTAGACCCATTTATCCCAAGGCTTTTCTTATTACCAGTTTTCTTATCATTTTTTCCTTCCGTGTACCCCAGCTTTTTTCCCTCCAAACATAAGGCCGGAGCCTGATTATTGCCTTGCACCCCACTTCTCTCAGTCCTCAATTGATTTCCCGTATCTTCATTCTCCTTATCTTCCCTCAGTGGATCTAGATCCTCCCTCAAATCCGAATATTCCATATCTTCTCCCAAACTGCCAAAAATGTTTGACATCACGATGTTTTCTGGAACTTTCGGTTGTGACGATACACGGATATCTTTTCCTGGATTCGCGCTTGCTCCACCAGCCAGAAGAACCCCTCTACTCTCTGTTAACGCTCCTCGCCGTCCCGATGATCTAACCGTCGTAAAACCATCATCTCCTTGTGTACTTGCCGCGAGCCTTGTCTCCTCCCTTCCGACCACTCTAGGGTTCTTCACGGTTTGTCTTTGAGTTGGACTACCACTCCCCGTCGGGCAAGTATGTACTAAATGCCCAAATAGACCACATTTGGAACAGATGTTGGTAAGGCCTTCGTATGAGACGAAGTAACGCTCCTCATTAACCAAAACTAATCCCTTTAAAGGCTTCTTCAAGTTCACCTCAACGCAGATCCTTGCAAACCTTGCCATTTCGCAATGCAGGTTGTGTTATCCATCGGGTTGCCTACTCCCTTTGCAATCCCCATTAAAATGGATATGTGGTAGAAATTCACCGGTAAATTTGACAAACGAATGCACACTGGAGTAGTAGTTATCTCATCACATAATGGATCGAATCCCAGAGTCCAAGCTTGAGTCAGTAGATAACTCCCAAAAATCCTCCATGGACCTCCCATCAATGCTGCCATATACTCGTCCTCCGCCTCAAACCGAACCATGAAGTACTGGCGTGGGAGATCCATAACAAACATAGCCCCTTTCGGTTTCCACATCTCTCTCAGGCGCCTACTCATAACCGATATCGCAGCATTCCTTCCAAGCACCTTCACAATCATGCACTGCTTCCATAAACCATTCATCACCGCTAGCACCTCCTGACCTATCGTTACAACCGGCTCTCTGTTTTCTCCATTAGGAAACTCCAAACTCATCCTCCTCAACACAAACTCATCGTCCACAACATCTTCTGGATTGGGCAATCCTCCGACGTTACTCCCTATAACCTTACTCACCCACGATCCTCCCCTATCCGGTGGATCTCCCGGAGGCCGACTTTTATCACCAACATCCATCATAGTGGCATCTCCCTCGTTTTCCCCCGGCGCTTGCTCATCGCCTCGTGCTCCCAAAACCCTAGCCATTTTTTTTTTATTAAATCCGCTTTCTTAAATCGTCTCTCCATCTTTATGTACTCTGCTAATTATCTTTTAATTAATGGATTAACTGTTAAAAAAAATATTATATTATCAGTACATAACAACATTATTTTTTCACTCTTTTTAAGTTATATTGATACTATTTTGAAATTATTTTTAGATTCTTTAAATATAGTCATAATCTGTCTAGAAAAAAAAAATCTTTATTACATCATTAAAAAAATCATTAGAATTTAGGGAATTTAAGCGCTTAAATTTCAAATTCATCAAGAATCTGTTAAAAAAAATCGAACAAATTTGTAAAATATTATTTTAAATATATATATATATATATATTGAAAGTTTAAAAATATGTCAAAATTTTATTAAAAATTTCTGATGAATTATAAAAAATGATAAAAAAATTTAAATAAGAAAATCAGAAAATCATTAGAAATACAGATTACTTAAAAATGCAAAATGAATAAAAGTAAAGACTTAGTCGAAATCTATTAAAAAAAATCTGTCACAAAATCTGTCAAATTGACATTGTTTTCTTGTAGTGTAATTTAGGTACATTCTTTTACAATACTAGATGAGTATCCGCGCGATGCGCGGATATTTTTTCACAAAATAATTTATTAAGAAGTGTAGTTATAATTTATTTATATCGTATATTTATATTTTTTTAAAGGATATTATGTATTTGAATATAAATACAATACATATTTACATATTATGTAGATATTAACTATATATGTGATCAATGGTTTATTGATAAGAAAATATGAAATATATTATACATTGTATATATAGAATATATTAAATGGCTATAGTGAAAATTAGAGAAATACTATATAACAAAAATTAATTAGAGAAACTCTTCAAGCACAACATAGATAGAGATGACTCTTTTTAACAGGTCGTACTTGTTCACGGCGTACATTTACACAATAGCAATGCTGTGATTTTATATTTTTATGAGCTTAAATAATTGAATGATAATTCTAATTTATAAACCTGCATTAAATATTTTATAAATATATAATATTAGGACTTTGATATCTTATTAATTTTAAAATTATTAATGGATTAAGTTTGAATAAAATAAAATATCAAATAATTATTGTTATATAAAAATTGTTTTAAAGTTTATTATAATATTGTATACATTTTCTAAAAACTTTTTAAGGTTCAAAATATCAAATAATTGTTATTTTTATATTTGTATAATTTTTTTTATTATAATATCTTATAATATTAATTTAAAATAAGAAAACATTCTTAAATATAAAACATAAATTTTGTTAATGATTTTTAAAAACTACCACAAAATAGATATTCAATAATTGTTTTAGATATTATGTATATATTGTTATTAAAATATATTATCTTATTGAGAATCGTGACCTCTTGAATCTGTCTTGAGCTTGAATATACCTAGAATTTTGACCAACGATGAACGAAAATGTGGTATGCATTTTTTCAACTGAAACATTTCTTGTATCTTTTAATCCCATCTTTACTCTAATAATAGAGCATAGCTTCAAGAACACATCCGGATACATACGATATAGATGTCGAAAATGTTGAGGATCTTCAACCAACGCCTTTTGTATATATTCATTTACAAGCCTCGTAGTTGGTCTTCTAATAGGGCGTTGTATTTGCAGAATATGTGATGAATGGATCTTCGCAATGATTGACAAAATCAGCAATAGAATATCAACGTCGGTTTTGAAGTTCGCTATCATTTTTCTTTTTTTTTCTAGCTTGTATCTCTTCACTTTCAGAAACAATGCGATCCATTGGATTCACAAACTCACAAGAAAACGGCAGAGGTGCAAACCCCTCAAGTAAATAGAAAAGAGAATAACTGAATAATGACAAACAAATCAATATTAAACTCCTAATTTTCCTTAAACAAATTAGCCGCCAAAAAAAATTGACCGCCAAAAATTTAGGCGCCAACACAGAATTTTCTGCAGATACGATAGAACCAATCCAACTGTGAACATTTTCTGACAAAAGTATATTTTACAGAAGTAATAGAATACAATAGATTCTCCTCCAACCAGTATGAAGAGTTTCCATTTTGTCTGCAATGGCTACTATTAAGATTTAAAAACGTTAAACTTTATGAAGATATGCAAATCCACGTTATCCACGTTTTTGTGAACTTATCAAAGAGAATAAGGAGTCAAGAGATACATAATTAACTGGTATGGCCTCCAATAAAAACTAAAATATAAGTAAAACACATAAAGTGTAGTTGAAACAGAGAACAAAAATCATAGCAATTCGTTAAACGTAATAACTAAAACTCATACCAAAGAAGGAAAAAATAACTCTAAAATCAAGAACCACATTCATTCATGACTTCAATCCATGGCATCCCACTCAGCCACTTGATTTACGAAGGTTTCGTTTGATCCATCCACAACGGTCTGTTATGGACATATTCACGAATCCAGTTTTCATACCTAAGCTGTGAACAAGCATCATCGCCTCGTAACGCAAATCATCATCCAAATCAGGAATTTCTTTGATAGCATCCCAGATATTGTTAGCTTTGTCTTCAGCTTCTTTTTCTTCAGCTTCTTTTTCCCATCTTTTTGTATCATGCCAAAGATCTGGCTACTGATTTCTGTCACTTCATCATCAACCATGTTCCTATTATATGAATCAGTTTTAGCTTTCTTTCTTTGGGGAAGCTTTTCTCTCTTCCTTTTTCCTGATGACGAAGAAAACACTTTGTGCTCAGATGTTTGCTGCTGTATTATCCCTTCAGCAAAATCTATATCACTTGTCCTCTCGATGGCTTCAACTTGGTAGGTATCTGCATGAGCGGTATCTCCTAATCCCACAGCATTTTGTCCACTTGCAATATTTTGACCATATATCGCTTTTAACTCCTCATAATCTTCGAATGAATCATCACGCAGATGTTTCTTATCTGGATGAGCCTATTTAAACAGAGAAAGAACAACAATTATCATTATAATAAGAAGTATACATAAGCAACACTAACATATTCATAAAGTTCATCATCTGCTGTGAATTTTTTCGTTTCAGGATCCCACCCAAAACCAGAACTACAGCGAATAAATTCTGCAAAACTTTGGTACCTAGCCTTCAATATCTTTGTCCTATTTCTATACTGGTTATAGGTTATGGAAGTTCCAAGCTCTTGGTTTAGAGTTGATAGTATTCTTGTCTCTATCGTGAGTTTGTTGAATTTACCATCAGATTGGCAAAAACCTTGATTGATTGCATCCACTAGTAGCCGTAATAACAATTTATGTTGAGGTTCAGACCAATGATGATATTGACCTTTACCTTTTACATCTTGTGGATCTCCTATTGTGTGGGAGTACCTAGTTATAGAAAACAATACAGATCGTAAGAACCAAACAATTAATCAATCTAGACTATTTAAAACCAAATCTGAAAAGCAAAATAATTAAGCAGACTTGAAAGTCACTGTCCAAACGATTATATTATACATGATAAGTTCTCACATATAGCATCAATAAATCATCCAAATTATATGAATACTATTCCAAGACAAACATCATCCAAAAGTAATTTGAAAAAAATACTTACTTTGACAGAAAAATAATTGAACCTTGCCGTACTGATAGCAATTTGGTAAGCCTCTGTATTGATCATATATATATATATATATATACATATATACCTATCAACATAACCCTAAAACACCTAAACGAGAAGTCCATATTTATATTTTTTCTAAACAATCAGCCCATAAAGAAATCAACAAGGTATTTATTTGAGATCACGCCAGTAACGATGTCTTTAATATTTCAGTAAATACCAGAGGGAGGTTGGTAAAGTACGAAGGATGCATCAAAAGTAAAGACAATCGTTACCTCACGATCACATGAAACTCTGTTTTTGGCCCACAATTGTAGCATCTAGACTCATTGTTCTCGCCTGCACTGAACACAGCATAATCTCAGCCTACAAACAAGTCATAAAGCTACTAATATATAAAGCAGTACTTGAAATAAGTTTTGATTTCAAGAGCATATAGAAAATTCATAATCCAAAAATTGGTTACAACAAAAGATCACGACTTAAGTAAAATGCATTATGGTTTTTATAAAAACAAGATGACGAATGTGTTAACCTTTGAATCATTCACTTATTCAAAGTGAACTGATTACAGATTTCACAAGGTGATGCGACTCGAAAACGTATCATCAAAGTTTTTGTCCTCGTCAGTGAAAGGGAAATTCGAATTCGCACCCAATTGCAAGAAATTCGAAGCCAATTTTGTAAACTCTGATACAGCCGGAGAGCTTCTACCTCCAATCTCCATGAAATCACTCGTGATCCTAGCAATCAGATCCTCGCCACCATCACCGAGATCCGATGACTTCCAAATCTCCTCCACATGATCGTCCATCTGATTTTTCTTCGGGTGATGAGAAGAAGCAGGCGATGGCACGAGGAAAGAAGCCACACCCCATAGATGACTTCTAATGTCTTTGTGAGTTCAGAGATATCTTCATTCATGCCTTGTGGAGACTGTGACTGCAACACCGACGGCGAAGACGGTTGATCAGAACCGGAAACTTCAATCGAATTAGACTTAATCGTTTGATTTTCGTCATCTTCATCCTCATCGACTTTCAGAGAATTTGCAATGGATCTCGCTAATCATGCCATTTTTCCTAGATATCTCTCAAGCGTAATCTCAATCACGACCTTAAACAAACACCATTAACGCCATAAGGATGAAGAAGAGATAAAACCCTTTGAAGATTGAGAAACGATTGATTATTGAGAGAAGCTATTGATTTAACTCAGAAATCTGCAAACATAGAAGATGAAGAAGGGTACGAATAAGAGAGATGTTTTCTCCGTTAAAGATGAAAAAAAAAATATATTTTTTTTAATAAAAAATAGTTATTTTGAAGTCTCTCCAAAAAACACATTTTTAGGTGTGAATTTTTGAATCATTGTTTATGAGTAAAAGTGGATGTGAAATCTCCTCAAATCCTTTTCATAAATATTTTGAAAAAAAAAATGATTTTGAATAACAGTGGATTGAATTTACTTTTTACAAATTAGTGATTCAATAACATGGAACTTTGAATGATTTTAATTAATTTTATATAAATTCCAAGTTCAATAACATCAAACTTGATAAGACATTTAGAAATCACCAATTGAATAACAGAGAATGTTTAAAAACCCATCAAATTCCCTGAAATTCCTAATCCAATACACCCCCTAAATTTATGCATTAACTGTATTTTACATAATTTGTATCATTAAAGTTTAAAAAATGACACATGTCATTTCTATTATAAACCAAAATGATGAAGTGGCATTTATATGGAGAGAGTTGACCATCTTTTACAGATCTATTATTTATGTGTTAAATATTAGTATCCTTAATGATTAATTAAAGATTATTTACGTATATTGTATTAGTTATACCAATTTTAGACGTACATGTTGTAGTAGCTTACACTTGTCAGATGTACTTGTTGTATTTTAGTTTACATAATGCAGATCAAGTCCTGAAAATTTAGGAACTTCAGAAAAAAAAAAAAAGGAAATGTTAGATTTTACAAAATTTAGGAGTTTTTCATTTGCAACTAAAATATTTTTAGAAATTTATTTTTAATATTAAAAATGAAAGAAAAATTAGGGGTCAAAATTAATATTTTATTTGGCTTGACCAAAATCAGCTCTGCAATTGTATAGTTTATTGTATATATTAGTTAGTTGTACTAGCTATATTTGTTGTTATTAGAACTCAATTTTAAGATATTGTTGGGTCCAGTTTTGGTGCAACACATAAATGATGAACCACCCTAGACACTGACATGGCTTGTTAATTCGGCCAACAATTTCTTAGCGCACTATTCCCGAGCAGTTGGCGGACTTCCCAAAATCACGTATGCTTCACTAACTCACCTGCTCCTCTGGCACGCCAAACGGATGGGATAGAACAGAGGAGGTTCTTATAAAAGAAGAGGCACCCTTAGAGGAAGAGGGAGGAGCGAGATAGAAGAGAAAAGGAGCTCAGTTAAGAGAGAAGGATGTCGAGATCAAAGGAGAAACCCCCTTAGAACCAACCCTAAAGAGGAAAAGCCAAGTCCCACCTTGGAGTGGCCAGTCCCGGCATTACAGCATAATCTCAGGGATGTATGCACCATCCCCTAAATAATGGCGAATACGATAAGCCTCTCTATAACTTGAAACCATGTTTTATACTCGTTACATCCCATTTTATACATTAAACCCTACAAAACACGCCTAAGCAGAAAGATGTCTTGATCTCCGGACGAGACATCTAACCCTTAACCCATAGAATCACCCTTATGAGTATCAGTTCCCGGTAGGGCGTTCATTGACTTGGACGTCGGAGAACCTTCGGGAGGAAAACATCATTTCAGTCCTCTCGAAGATTCGAATGACTCTTTGTGTAGTGCTTGTATGAACTTCTCGGACTCCCTAGATGCTTGCAGGGCTTAAGCAAGCTTCCTCTCCAGAGCTACTCGTCGCCTTTCCCCCCAGAGGACGAAACTCGGAGGCACGGCTCCACCACCTGAACGAATGACATACCCGCATATGGTATCCCAAAATTTTCTCCCGAACAGTTGGCGCTAGAAGGAGGGGGATCACCAGCGAGTGGTTACACGAAGGAAGCAGTCAAAGTAACCTGACGCGCAAAGAGCACATAGCCGGGAAAAAGGCCAACGTGGAGTAAGAGCCAAACGGAGTTCCCTACCTCTGGCAAGCCATGCAGGGAAACCCTACTTTCCAAGACTCAAGACCTTAGAGCCACCGCGCATGCTGGCCCTGAAGTCGAGAAGTCGGATCTACCACGAAACAAAGCAATAAACAAATAAAAACCACATAAGACGGACAATGTGTGGAATAAACTATTAAGCCACTTAAAAGGCTAGAAAAGTGGCTACCGGATCCAAGTGTACAGAAATATTTTTACAAGGGACAAAGTTCCCTAAGAAAAAGATTGTTCAAATCAAAAGCCTACGGACGAGAAGGCCCCGCCGTTGAAGAAGAACCCGCATCTCATGCGCCTCTTGCTACCCCTTGGAGTGTCCGTCCCCCATGACCCGTTCCGCCGACGCTCCTCTTCAAGCTCCCATCTAATCAGACCGATCATTGTTTGGCTGTTTGAGAAGGCCTCGACCGCCAACAGCGCGACGTCAGGTTATGTGCTCAGAGTAAAGCCCTGATACACTATGAGGATCTCGCAAAGGATCCACACCTCAAAGTTACGGGTCTCTAAGTCTTGTTAGCTGTCGGCTAATGACGTCGTTAAGCGCTTCACCTCCGCACTCATATCCTCTCTCGAGCGGAAGTCTGCACCTCCACAAGCTGGTCCCAAGTCACGAGCAACTCGACCTAGAGCTCATTGGCCCTGTCAGCGAGGCCCCGTTCACAGTGCTCGACCGCGTGGAGCTCATGCTCCAACATCTCGAGCGAACGCTGACTCTTTAAAAAAATAAAGAAACTGGTAAGGCCACCACCATAAGAAAGGAAGACCAAAGGTCCAAGAAGATTCCTACCGTGTCCAGCGAATGAGTAAGCTCTGAGGCAGTTAGACGCCACCCGGAAAGCTGTCGGAGTGAAGGAGCAACTGGAGGAGGAGGCGTCAGTACGGGCGCCAATTCAGAAGAAAAGCTCATTGCCTGTGGAGAGCATGGCGCAAAAAGGGCTGGGGGCACCGACGTCCCGGGCCCAGAGTTTCCCGGAGTCCACACCGGTTGGAAATGCCCAGCTCCCCTCGGGACTTCATAGTCCCAAGAAGAATCAGTGTTCGTGGTGGATAAGAGGGGAAAGAACAGCGCCTCCGGAGAGGTGGTTGAGTTGATGCCCTCGACGCCTCCCCAGTGGAAAAATCAACGCAGCACCTCCAAAGAGGTGGTTGAGCTGACGCCTCCCGAGCTGGAGAATAAACGCGGTGCCTCTAGTGGGACAGTTAGGCAGACACCCTTCTCGTGCTTCGGGTGAGCCTGGAGTTGGGTCACCGACCCTGGGGGCATAAGGGTTCTACACCCAATCAAATCGGTGCGGATGACCTGTCAAACAGGAGTCAGTAAGAGCATCCTCATAATCAACACAATGAGGAAGGTCGGGCTATTACCTGGAGAAAGAAGCGACACGCTGGCCGGAAAGATAAGAGAGCTCGTTCGGATGCTCACCGGCGAGAGCAGAAAGACAAACAACCTAAACCGCTCGTCTAGCATAACTAGCTGGTCCAAGTTGACCTGTTCGTATGCGTGCAAGGTTTCGGAGCGTAAAAACGTAAAAAATGTGGATCCGAACGCAGACCGAGTAATCAAAAAATATATAAAAAAGAAGAACTACTTGCGATCAGCAGATTTACCTTGCGTCCGCCAAGTGAGCGGAACGTTGATATCCTCAGGCACCCTCCAGTGGAAGAACCGCTCCCACCAGCCACGGCTCCCAGAGCGGTCCTTGAGGATTGGGACGGAGCAGTCATCTTTGGCATGCAGGGTGTAACAAAAGGAGTCATCGGTAAGGTTGCAGAGCTGGTAGGATAGCAGCACCACAGAGCTGCGGATACGGATTCCAGACAGGTCCGAGAGAACCTGGTAGGTGCTAAGAAGGCCCGTTGAAGGGTGGAGCTGGCTGGGGCAGATGCCGACGTAGCGGTAAAAATCGACCAGAATTTGAGGAAGATGGCCCCACAAACCGTAGGAGATGTAATCATCATGGATCGCCAAGCAACAAGGCAAAGGGTAATCCTCTTGGTCTCTTCCGACAAGAAAGATAGGATGGAGGGCGGAGCAAGCTGGGTCGGTCGCCACCAGGACCCTCTCTAGAGAATCCGGTGTGTATACCAACGGAGGTCGGTCAGAGGGAGAAGCCACTTTGGGCGATCAAGCTGCACTCTCGGACTCCCCATTGGACCACAAGAAGAGGTGCACCACGCACCAGAAGATGAACTCGCCGCCGACTTCTCTATTTGAACAAGAAAAGAGATATGAGGTGAAGGAAAGATTTGAAAGAAGATCAGAAACCTGAGATAGTTTCGAAAACTGGATAAAACTACGAATGCGTGGGTTCTGCAAAATTTATAGAAGAAGAAGAAAATTGAAACAACGCACGAAGAAAGTCGCGTCACTTAGGGAAAGCAAAAAGTCGGGGGGCATTCCTATAATTATTGGCTTCTCGCACCTTGTAACCGAAGAGACAGGCATTTAATGAAAAGGGATATAGACAGTCCTCCGTGACAGAAAAAGCAACTGGCGTTTTGTGGGAAACAAAGCGCACTGTGCGACGCGACATGCTGCACCTCAAGCCACGGAAATCCACCACATGGATCGCACCCATCTTTTGCTAGTATCCCGCCCATAATGGAGTCTAAGCAATGACTAACGAACCAGGAAAGCCCGC